TCTCTTTCTTCCTTCCTTCATTTATTTTTGTATAATTGGAGATAAGAGTATCACAAGCTTTCCTGCCAGTGATGGCATCTATTATCTTCAGATCTCAGCCTCCTGAGTAGCTGGGATTATAGGCATGGCACACAGTTGGCCCGCTTCCTATTTGTATCTTTACAAGATATTTTTCATGCAAAATCTTTGTGCAGCAAGCAATCACTCCCTGTGGGAAGTTCAGTCCACTGTACTTACACACTATATGCATTGGTATGTGTGAGAGAAACAGAGACAGAGACAGAGAGAGCCAGAGAGACACCGAAATACACTCACAGAGACAGTGAGACAGAGTAACAGGGACAAACCAAGATAGAAGGAGAGGCTGAGACCCAGGCTGTCACAGAAACATCTAAACAGCTTTGATTTGTAATTTCATAGACTTAAAACCCATAGACAAAATATAAGCAAAAGTCCACAAGTAAAAGTAGAATATGATAAAAATACATATGATTTAAAATAATTCCAATGACCAAAAATACTTGGTGAATATATGCAAACTTTGAAGAGATAAGACTCTACTAAACCCTAGTATTAAATTAACATAAATACCAGGAATATTTTCCTATTACCCACCCTCCTCTTCTCTCTCCACTTCCCAGTAATTACAGGCCTATGTACAGATCTATAACTTCCAAGTAAAGAGAGAACACGATAGTGATGTTTGTCTATTTGTGTCTGGTTTATGTCACTTAATCTAATGTCTTCTAATTCCCAACAAATACATTCAATTAATCTATGTCAGTTAAAAAAATTAAAATAGAGCAAGTCTAATATGGTGTTCTTCCAAAATTCATTTTGTAGGTCACATTTCAATATAGCATGGAATTTGTCTTGTGAGCAGCTCTTGAAGATATTTTGGTGCTATCAGCTCCATCTTCCTTAGTGGCGCTACCCTGTGATTCTAGCTGGGGGCTAATATGCTTTGCTTTGTCAGAAACCACACTGACAAGACCATTAAACAAGTGTAGAAACTTAACATATTTCTACCTGAGAATTTCCTTCCTTACTTCTATCTCTCCCTACCTCCCTTCCCTCCCTCCCTCCCTTCCTTCCTTCCTCCTTCCTTCCTTCTTTCCTTCCTTCTGTCCCTTCCTTCCCTTCCTCCCCTTCTTTCTTACTTTCCCTCAATTTCTCTCTCTCTTTTCTTTCTTGTCTTACTTTCTTTCCTTCCTCCCTCTCTCCTGTCCCTCCTTTCCTCCCTTCTTTTCTTCCTTTCTTCCTTCCTTTCTTCATTTCTCCCTCTTTCCCTCCCCACTCCCACCCCACCCCCTATTTCTTTCTGTGTGTAAGGACTATGGTTTGAACTCAAGGCCCAAGTGCTCTATTGTAGCATTTGTGCTCCAAGCTGATGCTGTACCATTTGAGTCATACTTCCAGTTCCATTTTTGTGAGTTTTTTCCTTGGTTTTGTTTTGTTTTGCTGGCTAATGGGAAATAAGAGCCCCATGAATTTCTGAATAGGCCAGCTTTGAACCTCAGGTCTCAGTCACCTTCATAGCTAGGATTGCAGGCATGAGTTGCTAGCATCTGGCTTATTATCAAGCTTTCTGTTAGATTACAAAATAAAGAAAAGAAATAAAGCAATCAGACTTTATCTGCTAGTTTTTCTAGATTGGTTGGAATTTGAAATAATGAAGTATATAATTTTTTAAATGTAAGATTCACATTACTCATTTGATTTTTTTTTGTTGTTGTTGTTGTTGGTTGTGGGGCCTGGGCACTGTCCCTCAGCTCTTCAGCTCAAGGGTAGTGCTCTACCACTTGAGCCACAGTACCTCTTCCAGCTTTTTCTGCTTATGTGGTGCTGAGGAATCAAACCCAGGGCCTCATGCATGCAAGGCAAGCACTCTACCACTGAGCCACTTTCCCAGCCCTAGTAATTTGATTTTATACTTGTTTATATAATAGCTGATCATCTGGATTATCTCCAGATATGCAAATGGAGACAGAAATGAACTCAGAGAAGTAGGTGGAACTAATGCTTGACTTCAAATAACCTTTCCTACAAAAAGAATTTATGGTATACTCATGGGAAGTTTAACCCTGAGGAAGTAGGTCCATTTCCTACAATTAAAATAGGAATTTTAATATCTTTCCTAATGACAGATATCATCTTTCCTTATTATTGTTTTTCTGTTCCTGGAACTGGAGTTTGAAATCGAGATCTCACACTTACTTGAATTATGCCTCCAGCCTGTCATTTTGCTGGTTATTTTGGAGATAGAGTCTTGCAGATTTTTCTGCCTGGGCTAGGTTCAAACCTCAATCTGGATGCCAGCTTCCTGTGGAGCTATGATCACAAGCATTGGCTGCTGGGGCTTGGCTCACATATTGTATCTCTCTGTACAGGTATTTTTCCTCTCTTTCTGCACAATAGAATAACGCACCAGTCTCCCTCTCCCTTGCCTCTTCCCAGTGCACCATTGGCTTGTAGGCAGCCAATGAAAGAGCAGTGAATGGCAGTGGAAGAGAAAGGCAGCAACTCTTCTCCCTGACCCCCTGAAGTTAGGGAGGTGACAAGTAGTGTGCCTCTGCTAACATCACTGGCGATTTCTCTGATTCTGCACTTAGTGTGGAGATTCTGCACACTACTACTTGCCATCTAACACCTCCTCCTGGACCAGGCTCTATCCAATACACTCTCACACAGGTTGGGGGGGGGTAATGTGAGGGGGAGGGGGAAAGGACACACGATTTTTTAAATAAAATAGTAAGAATTCCACTCTGGTTTTCTATAGCAAGAACAAATCAGTGAGGGAGGAAGTGGGGCTGTGATGGGCATACAAAGGCCAGGGCTTCAGACTCCAGCTGATGGGCACTTTCTGAGCCCCAGCTGGAGGCACTCCCTTAATCTCTTTTAATCCCCTAACAGCAGTGGGTTTTTTTCCTTGAAAGGAGAATAATGATTATATCCATCTCACAGAGCTCTGAGAATGCAATGTAATAGTGTCTACAGGGCCAAGAGTTTGAAAGCAGTTCTGTATATAACCTCTCAATAATCATAATCACTTTCATCTATCTATATAATCTATATGTGTGTCTATCAATCTGTCATGTATCTATCTATCATCTGTCTGTCTATGATGGTAAAAAGAGCAGTCTTAAAAGTTTAAGATACCACATTTAGAAAAATACACAAGATTAAACAAAGAAAGAAATGAGCTAGAAAGAGACATGCCAGGAGTTCAATGGGCTCAGTTCTCGGTGCCATGCACACAGCAGAGAGCCCATTCCTGCTCCCTTTGAAAATAAAGTGCATCCCCATGTCTTCATCCTGAGATTAAAGACAAACTTGCACTAAACATATATGTATGTAAGTGTATTGTTTTACAAATAGAATAAAGAGTTTTCAGTGATTAATTCCTAGCCAAGAAAGAATCTGGGAGGTGGTTGAAAAAGAATGCTGACATGCTGATCTCATAGCACATATATACAGGTGTGTGTATGTATCTATCCATATATATTATATATATATATATATGTGTGTGTGTATACATATACATACATATATATGTATACATATGTGTGTGTGTGTATGTATATATATACATACACACACACACACACACAAAATCTTTCCAAATTTAAAGAACTCTTTTAGGAAGACATTTCTTTTTCCTTTTTTTTTTTAACCTTTTATTTTACAGACGTTCTGAGGTTTACAATCAAGGCCTTGTATTTTTTTCTGGGCTTTCTACTCGCAGCTGATACTCTACCACTTGAGTCATAGTCTACTTCTGGCTTTTATGTGTGTTTGTGACAGTCCTGGGCCTTGAACTTAGGGTCTAGGCACTGTCCCTGAGATTCTTTTGCCCAAAGGTAGCACTCTACCACTTGATTTATAGTTCCACTCCTAGACTTTTTGGTAGTTTAGCAGAGATAAGACTCTTGCAGACTTTCTTGCCCGGCTAGCTTTAACCATGATCCTCAGATATTAGCCTCCTGAGTAGCTAGGATTACAGATGTGAGCCACCAGTGCCTGGCTCACTTCTGGCTTTATGCTGGTTAACTTGAGATGAGTCTCTTCAATTTGTTTGTCCAGGCTGGCTTCCAACCTCAATCCTCAGATCTCAGGCTCCTGAGTAGTTAGAATTATGGGTGTAAGCCATTAGTGTACTGCTCAGAACACACTAAACACACTATTTAAACTCTGGAGTGAACTATGTAGACTTGAATCAAGACAGTCCTGTGAATTAGATGTATCATCCTTCAAACACATAGTGGACTTTTCTATCCATTAAATTCCTTCTGTCTGAAAGCTTGAAAATACCCTTCTCTCACAGGTTTTCTTGTAAGAAGAAAATAAATTTCAACCCATATCAAGCGAGCAGACCAACATTTGAAGAACAGTGAAGACTTGAAAATATTTATGATTATGTTCACTATGGCGAAATGATATTTTTTTTTTTTTGGGTCCGGTCGTGGGGCCTGAACTCTGGGCCTGGGCGCTGTCCCTCAGCTCTTCAGCTCAAGGCTAGCGCTCTACCACTTGAGCCACAGTGCCACTTCCGGCTTTTTTCTTTTTGCTTATGTGGTGCTGAGGAATCGAACCCAGGGCCTCAGGCATGCAAGGCAAGCGCTCTACCACTGAGCCATCTTCCCAGCCCTGAAATGATATTTTAAAATGACAAAATTCACCCAGTGGCTCATACTAGCTTCTTAGGAAGCTGAGATCTGAGGGTCAAGATTGAAAGCCTGCTTGAGTAGAAAAAATTTTCAAGACTCCTTCTCCAATGAACCAGTAAGAAGCTGGGCTGGAGCAAGGCTCAAGTGTTAGAGCAAGAAAGCTGACTGTGAGAACTTGAGGCCCTGAGTTCTCTCTTCTCCCCCCACCCCTTTCTCTTTCTCTTTCTCTCACACACACAAATACAAAAACTTATTATTGTTGTTGTTGTCGTTACTATTCCCGACATAGCTAAAGTCTTGGGTTTGAGGAACAGAAGTGAAATAGGTTCATACCTGTATATCCAGTTTTGCAAACACAGTTGAAGCCTCCTGGAAAGTTCTGGCAGATGGCCCCGTTTTTGCAAGGGCTGGGCAGACATTCGTTGATATCTCTCTCACAGGCCCTCCCGGTGAAGCCCTCCGGACAGCTGCAGGAAAAGCCCCCCACCAAGTTGTGACAGGTTCCACCATTGTGGCACGGGGCCGGCAGGCACTCGTCGATGTCCGTCTCGCACCAGTTGCCGGCGTACCCCGGCAGACACCTGCAGAAGAACGGCTGGAGGGGCTCGTTCGCCACGAGGATGACGGGCAGGCTCTCCCGGCTCTGCAGGTCAGGGCTCACGGCCAGTCTCCGGATGCAGCTGCCCCCGTTCTGGCAGGGCCCCTGGGCGCAGGCGTCATGATCCACAGACTCGATCCTCACCCCGCTCTGCCGCAGGAGCACCTCCTGGATGCTCTCAAAGAAGGTGGCAACGCCGCTGGCACTGACATACTGGTTACTGTTTCTCTTCACCGCTGCCAGGAGAAATGTCCTGTTGTTTTCTTCGTAGGCCCCGTAGAGCTGGACAGCGGTTCCCAGGCCTGTCAGCTGCGAGCCGGCGGTGCGCAGGAAAGACACGTAATGGTTCGTCAGGAAATCCCTGACGGTGGGCACGGCCACGCGGAGCAAGATGCTGTTGTCCACCGTGGCGTTAGAGAAGCCGGAGAAGAGCACACGGACACTGCTGGTCACCGCGCTGTGCAGGCCGTCACTGCTGAGCACCGTCAGGTCGAAGGCCCCGTCGGAGGAGCGCGGCTGGGCGCTCAGCTCGCAGGCACCTGCGGGGATGCTGAAGAGGCCCGTGAGCCCCGAGGTCAGCGTGCAGCGGAAGCTGTCCAGCACGTCGGGGTCCTGCGGCTTCACCGAGCCCAGGATCCCGCCCGGAAACACCTTCCCGAAGTAGTGGACGAAGATGTCCAGGGCACGGGGCTGGGAGGGGTTGTCGTTCTGGTCCCGGACGGTGATGCGCACTGTCCCTGTGGAGGACATCTGTGGGATGCCCGAGTCCCGGGTGACCACCGACAGGCGGAAGGTGGCAATCTGCTCTCGGTCGATCTCCCTAGTGGTACTCAGGACCCCAGCTGAGCTCAGGCTGAAGTAGTTGGTGGCGGGGCCCGTGCTCAGGAGGTGGTAGGTGAAGGGGCCCTGGTTGGGCGGGAGGTCGGGGTCAGTGGAGCGGAGGGTGAGCACCAGGGTGCCCGGCCGCTGGTTTTCCGTCACCTCCCCCTCGCTGATGGCCAGCAGCGGCCCGTTATCATTGATGTCCTCCAGGGTGACCAGCAGGGCGGCACTGCCCGTGGCCGGCGGTGTCCCCGAGTCCACGGCCAGGACCGTGAGGTTGTACACGGGGCGGGCTTCACGGTCCAGCTCGGCCGTCACCGTGATCTGCCCGGTCTGGGGGTTCACGGAGAAGGCGCCCTGCTCGTTCCCTGGCCCCAGGACATAGGAGAAGCGGCTCCAGCTGGGCGTGGAGTCAGCGTCGAAGGCACTGACAAAGGTGACATGCGTACCTACCGGGACGCCCTCACTCACCTGCACCCGGTACACGTCCAGGCTGAACACGGGTGGGTCATTGGCGTCCAGCACCGTGACGTTCACCGTCACCTCGTCCACGTCCGCACCCCGGATGCTGCCGGCGTTCTTGGCCAGCACCTTCAAAGACACCCTTTCTTCTTTCTCTCTGTCCAGAAGCCCAGACACGTAGATCTGTCCCGTCTTCTTACTAATCTGCAAGCCTTTCTTTCGACTGCTGCCAAAAATTAAATAATGGACCTCGCCGTCGGAGCCCAGGTCCCGGTCACTGGCAAAGACCTCTCCCACCACGGTGCCCCGGGGCGCCGCCTCGGAGACTTCAAAGTAGTAGTGTTTGGAGACGAAGCGCGGCACGTATTCGTTGGTTCCCTCCAGCTGGACGGTGATGGAGGCGAAGCCACACCGATCCTCATCCGGCACGTTGAAGGCCTTCACAGTGAGGTGGTAACTCTGCTTGGTCTCGAAGTCCAGGAAGCCCTGGGTGGTGAGGATGCCGGTGTTGGGGTCGATGATGAAGAGGTCGCTGTCCGAGGCCTGCACACTGTACGCCACCACGGCGTTCATCCCAGCGTCCGCGTCCGTGGCGTTCAGGTGGACCACTGTCGTCCCACTCGGGGCATTTTCCAGAACAGTAAGGAAATACTCTTCGGGAACAAAAGCCGGAGAATTGTCATTCACGTCTGCCACGTGGACGGTCACACGGCAGAAGCCGGTTCTGACAACCCAGCCTCCGTCCGCGGCGCTGACGGTCAGCTCATGTTTCCGGCACAGCTCGTAATCGAGGGCTTTGGCTAAGGTCAGCACCCCTGTGGATGAGTTGATGGCAAAAGTGCCTTCTTCGTTCCCGGAGGAGATGCCGTACTGGATGGCGCCGTTCATGGCCGCGTCCCCGTCCCTGGCCGACAGCGTCCTGATGACGCCCCCGACGCCGTAGCTCTCGGGAACGGTGACCGTCACGTGGCTCTGGGAGAATTCAGGTGTGTGGTAGTTTTCTTCAGTGACAGTTATTTGCACCGTAGCTTGGGAAGAAAGAGGAGGGTTTCCTTTATCCTTCGCGGTGACTGTGATCAGAAAGTCCTGGTTCAAGTCGGAAATCAGCGAGGACGCGACAGAAATCCACCCTGTGTCTCTGTCCATCGTAAACCTCCCCGCCCTACTGTGGTCAGACATGAAATACTCCACCTGGGAGTTCAGCCCAAAGTCCTTGTCATCCACCGCAGTGACCTGGATCAGCCTGGCGCCCACACGCGCGGTTTTGGTGACCGGGGTGAAGTAACGGTCTTGGGGGAAGCGCGGCGCGTTGTCGTTGCTGTCCACGACGCGGATGGTGACGGTGGTCTCGCTGAGCAGGGCCGGCGCGCCCCGGTCCGACGCGGTCACCACGAAACTGTGTCTGTTGACGTTCACGTTTCCGATGCCGCTGACGTTCTGGTATTTTAAGGCCTGCTTGTTGAAGATCTCCCCGGTGGTGGCGTTAATCCTGAAGTACTCAGACTGAGACTTAATGAAGTAAACCACTTGTCCATTGGCGCCTTCGTCCGGATCGGCAGCCGAGACGCGCGCCACGCCGGCACCCACGTCCGTCAGTTCGGGGCAGTCCAGGTAGTAGGAGGGCCTGCCGAAGCGCGGGGCATTGTCGTTCACATCTGTCACGAAGATGGCCACGTCCGTGCTCACGGTCCACCCGGAATCGTGCGCCGAGACGCGGATTCGGTAGCGGTCCGTGTCCTCCCTGTCTAGAGGCCTGCTGACCACGATGTCGCCGGTGCTGGGGTTGATGGAGAATGGGAGGCTCTGGTCCGTGAGGGAGTACCTGCTGACCGCGTTGACGCCGATGTCCTCGTCGGACGTCGTGACCCGAGTCACAGTGAATCCCAGAGGCGAGTTTTCCGAAACGTGGGCTGTGAAGATCTGGGAAAACTTGGGGGCATTGTCGTTTTCATCCAGCACGGTGATGACGACTCTCACCGAGGTGCTCCGGGAAGGAGAGCCCTTATCGGAGGATCTCACGGTGAGAACGTAACGGGGGGTTTTTTCTCGGTCTAGGGGTCGGGTGCTTCTGATCTCCCCGGTGGCGTGGTGGATACTGAAGCTGTTTTCCGCGTTCCCGTCCACGATCTCATATCCTAACTGGCTGTTTGGCCCACTGTCCCTGTCCACCGCAGAGACGGTGAGTACTGTCCGAGGAGAAAGGTTTTCGAGGACAGCCGCTGCAAAGGGGTCTTCTCGAAAGGTGGGGGCATTGTCGTTAACATCCAAGACCGTGATGTCCAGTTTCTCATAAGAAGAGAAGGGCGGGAAGCCCGCGTCTCGAGCCTCTATCCACACCACGTACCTCTGTGTCCGCTCGAAGTCTAGGGGCCGCCGGATGGACACCTGGCCGGTCAGCGGGTCGATCTGGAAGGCGCCACCCAGGTTTCCACTGGCGATGTAGTAGGACAGTGCATCACCCCGCGGGGACGACCCGGTGACTGTGGTGGCCAGCGTGCCCACCGGCTGGTTCTCGGGAAACACCAGTGCCTGTTCTTTGGCTCGAACTTTGGGGAAATCTGCTTTGTTGGCAAACCTGACGGTCACCGTGGTGGAGTCGGCCCTAGGGAACGAGCCGCCATCTCTCACGTGCACAGAGAAGGTCACCTCAGAGACCCCACTCAGCGACCCAGCTGTGGTGATGGCGCCGCGCAGGGGGTCAATGCGGAACTTCTCAGAGTGTCCACCTGAGAGGGAATAATGCAGCTCTGAATTAGGTCCCACGTCGGCATCAGTGACTGTCACCGCAAAGACAAAGGCCCCTATTGAAAAAGCAAAAAAAAGAGGTGATGGAGAGTTTACAGTTACAATCCTGTGAAATCCAAATGAAACACCCACGGCCAGTTTGTGAACAGCAAACGCTCTCCTGCCTCACACTCTACAGAGAACAGCATCGCCAGTATTTTCTCTCAAGTTCCCAAATCAAATCTGCTTAATGATAGCTTTCAGAGAATGACCTTTAATTTTCTCACTGAAACCCACACAGTCTGCTGGATATCATATTTTTCAGTGTGCCTTTGAGAGAAGCACAGGAAAGAGAACTGGCTAATCATTCAAAATCGTGGCTTCTTGGAGAAAATCTGCACCTAAGAGAATATGCCCCCAGCCCAAAATGTGGTAATTTGTGAGCTATGCCAAGTGCCATCAATTGGTGTGAAAGTGTTCTTGTGCTCTGAGATTCCGTCACATGCCTTGGTATTACTAAATACACCATCTTGTCAACAAAAATGTTGCATAAATTTACTACCGTTACAGGGATCCAAATTCTTTGATTTTTGAGGTACTCTAATATGGAGATAAAATATACATACATTCAGTTAAATATATGTTTACGTATATAAACATGTACATATAAAATCAAACTAATTATAAAGTAATATGAAATAGAAATCAAGGAAGGATACTTAATTTAGATTTTGAAACATAGTACATAGAATGCATGCCAAGGCAACAGATTTTAGCAGAAATATGAAGAAAATCTTCCTTGAGGACATATCTTAAAAATATTCAGGCAGAAGAAAATCTTCCTTGAGGACATCTTTAAAATATTCAGGCAGACACTCTGTCAAAACACTCTCACTGAAGAGATAGTTAACAAAGTGAAACATCTTAAATTTATTTTTTAAAGGCTAGGAATACTTATTAATAATGCAAATGTAATGAGGACAAGGACCCTCATGTTGTATGAGAGACTCCGCACTGCATGACCACACATCAGATGCAATTAGAATCATGCCTGCCAGCCCCATTTTGTCTAAAGACTCTCAGGAGGGACACAGGACTTGAGTTCACAGATATGGTGCTTTCAATTGGCATTGACTAGACCATTCTCAACTTGAGAAGATCAAAGATCACTAAGAGAAGGAAAACTAAATCCTTTCCTCCAATTTAAATTCTTTTTAAGCAAAGAAGATTGAATTAAACATAAGCTATATTAGTACATTTTCTTGTTTAAATAAGAATGGATTGGGATGTAGCTCACTGGCAAGGTATTTTCCAAACAAATGCACCATCCTGGATTTGATCCCCAGTACCAAGAAGATAAGACAAAAAACAATACAAGCAAAGATGCACAGTTTTTGAGAGTATGTCATTGTGAGTCAATGATATCAGACTACATGTAAAAGGTAAAATAATACAGATGTTTTTAATTTTTAAAATGGCCATTTATAGAGGCTAATCAAATTTTTTTCTTTCAGCAAGACTGGACTAACAATATATCATTTTGAATTATCCAGTTATTAAACAGTTTTTTCATGTATCTATAAAGTATTGAAGAAATATTTGTTTTCAATGAACCATTATGTTTGAATATCTAGTACCTCCCAGATGGGACATGAAAAAAATAGAAAATTCTCTCCACATTTAAGTATAGTTTAGGGCAGAACCTATATCCACTAGGAAGTAATATCTAAACATTTACCATACATTAATATGGAAGATATGGCTTTTTTAGGAATTATATGTACTCAACTTAATAGAAGATAAAGATCACAACCATCTCTAAATTCTTTTATAAAACTTTGGAGTTAAAGGACTCGATTTGTTAGAATGAAATTCAAGTTGTCTTCCATATTGTTGGGAAAAACAATTTGAATTTTAGAGGATTTCTAAAAGTATGTTATTTCAGAAACACAAATAATGGAAAAAAATGCTCATAGGAAACATCTGATGCACAGCTTGCCTATCTCCATGGAGCCTTGGCTTTAGTCAATTACCTGGTGGAGCAGGAGATGGGATGTGGGTGACATATGGATGGTGCTGAAATCTTGGTGGATTATCATTGACATCGGCCACAGTGACCAGCACACTGGTGGAACTGGAGAGAGACTCTGGGGACCCGGCATCACTGGCGACCACCACTAAAGTATAGTTATCTTTGGTTTCCCTGTCTAGCAATGCACTGGTGATGATTTGTCCTGTGGATGGGTTGATGGTGAACTGAGCGTCTCCACCCATGATGCTGTAACTAAAGCAGAGATGAGAGAGAGGCAATCATTCTTTTAGTTACGAGATTGTAACGTCTTTTTTATGAAGCTTTAAACATGGAGGCAGAAGTGTAGAGGAGATCACAGCACAGTGCAGGAATATGAGATGACTACTTCAAATTTTGTATGACCATCACATTGGCAGCATTTATTTAAAAAATGCCCAGTGACCTCAAACAATTCTCTGAAAAGTTTTCAGGTCTGTGAAGGCATATGGGGACACAAAAGAAATGAAGAACAGTGCTGTATTTTAAATGAATGTGGTTGGAAGTATACGTTATGGCTTTTGTACTAGTATTGTGGTGAGTGGCCAAGATTACAAATGAATATTCTTTATTTTTTTATTTATTTTTTTGCCAGTTCTGGGCTTGAACTCTGGGCCTGGGCACTGCCTCTGAGCTCTTCAGCTCAAGGCAAGCACTCTACCACTTGAGCCACAGTGCCACTTCTGGCTTTTTCTGCTTATGTGGTGCTGAGGAATTGAACCCAGGGCTTTATGCATGCAAGGCAAGCACTCTACCACTGAGCAACCTTCCCAGCCCACAAATGAATATTTTTTAAATCAAGCTTAAAAATTATTTTTCTGCTGTACACCATATTAAACCAGGAGAAATCAGTTGAAGATCTTATTCTTTAAAGACAAAACACTATATTTGGCAGTACTGTCCATTCAGAGCAGCTAACGATCCAATTATTTACACAGAGACATTCCTGTATACTAATTCTCTCATTGGTCATTCCTCATATGGCTATGTCAGGAGAATTTGACACCTTCATGGACAGTTTGATGCTAGCCAGACTGGTTAACCAGAAAGAATTTCCACTGAGAATATCTTCTTTCTTCTTTTAGAAGCACTTATTTATGGTGCTGTGTTTGAGATGAGATTCCCAGAGATTAAGCTATTAATTAATAAATAAATAAAAAGCAGCTCAACTCGAAGGATCAAAATCATTTATGGAGGTTAAGAAGAAAATAGATGTACTTAACATCTTTTCCTCTTTATATCAACAAAGATATTGGTGTTTTAGATAGAGCTAAGAATATGTTTTGGTAGCAAGAGGACCTGTCTCAGAAACTCAGGAAAGAAAGTAAAGTTCATCTTGTGATGTGTTCATTCCTTTCTTATACTCACAGTCTAAAACAAGCATTTTAGTGTTTTACCATATTTTATTGAAATACTGAAAGTTGGAAGCTGATTTTTTAAAAAATAGAATTCCTAAAAAAGTATAACCCCCAAAAGGAGGAAAGAAGGAGTTTAGCTGAGAAATGACATCAGTTCTGATGAGACACTAGGCATTGCACAGATTTTAACACTTTGGGGCACAGCCAAAAGGCAGAATCACTTCCTAGGCCAGAAATGGCTTTCTACAAAGTACAATGACTGCCCTGATAAACGGTAGCTATTTTCCTTATCAAGCTAAAAATCAAAAACTTGCTGCTATCAATAGATGTAGACATTATTAAGTAATTTAATAATTAAAAAGATATTCTTAAAGCTATGAATGTTTCTAACACTTTTCTGACAACAAAGTTCAAAGCAATAGTTTTTTGCCTAAAAATTTACAAGCACCAATAAAAATGAATAATAAAATATGCAAATTTGTGCCTGGATCTTTCCTATACATCAAGAACACAATGTTATAGAGGAAGTAATGGATTGAAAGGCAAATGGCAAATGATGTGGTGTCTGCTCCAGGTCTCACAAAATAATCATATAATCAGGGAACATTTATATTGTTTGCCATTAGTGGGTCTTACACTCAGGGTCTTGTGCTCTCATTTAGTTTTTTGCTCAAGGCTGGTGCTCTACCACTTGAGCCACACTTCCACTTCTGTCTTTTTGGTGGTTAATTGGAGATAAGAGCCTCATGGACTTTCCTGTCTGGGCTGGTTTTGAGCCACAATATTCAGATCTCAGACACTGAATAGGATTACAGGAGTGAGCCACTAGGGCCTGGTTGGGAATCTTATTCTATAAATTTGCATTTTTTATTTTATGCTATTGTGCAAGCTAATATGATTTTCTGCTTAAAAGCAGATGACATATTTAAGTGTTGTTGAAGATTAAAATAGTTATGACCTTTTTGAGATAGTCTATATCACCACGGGATTGCACATTTATAGTTTTAATTTAAAATAATGACTGAAAAGAAGTAAAAACATCTCTGTAAATGGTCTCTAAGCTACAACCTATGTCCAGGTTTTAGCCACCTCTCATATATGGAGCTGATTCACTTCTCATGACTATAGTCTTTATCTATTATTGTAAGGCTATAAACTTTTTTAGATTGTACTGTGATATCTTCTTAACAGTTAAACACATCGATGGTGATCTTTAAATATTTCCATCATGTTGATAACTTTTTAATTTATACTGAATACACTGAATATGTATATATGTATATATAGCCTAGAATATAATTTATATAGAGAATATATATACATCTATTTATATTAAATAATTTTATATAAATGTATATTTATACATAAGTATATAATATATATATATATTCTCACATTTAAAACTCATAATGAGAGTTGGGCACCAGTGGCTCAGGCCTGTAATCCTAGCTACTTAGGGGGCTGCAATATACAGACTGCAGTTCATAGTCAGCACAGGCAGGAGAGTTCATAAGATTCCTACCTCCAAAATAAATGTTCAAAAAGTCAGAAATAGAATTGTGGCTCAAGTGAAAGAGCAGTAGTCTTAAACAGAAAAGCTTGGGGACAAAGCCCAGACCCTGAGATCAAGTACTAGTACTAGCCTAAAACCAAAACCCTCCCAATTAGCCTAAGGACTTATTTTCAGCTTTGGATTTGTTGTTGATTGTTCATTTGTTGTTTGTTTTGTACATACTACATCTAAATCTAAGAAAAATTAACAAAAAATGCACAGTAGATAAATGGCACATATGGAGTCCAATTTCTGTCTTTATGACTTCAACATGCTAATTTCCCATTACACTATGTTGTGAGGAAGGTCTAACTCAGCTGAGGGACTTGAGTAAAGACAAGCTATGCTGTACATGAGGGCTGAGGGCAGTGCACTCTTGCTTAAGGTACATCAATGTAGTATTGCTTTACAGTACTTTACTTCAATGCAAATCAGCAAATGTGTTCACCTACTTGCTGAACAGTAAGACATCGCTGCTTCAAATAATATACACAGATTGAGAGTAGTCACCACCCTAAGACTCTTGTGCTGAATTCGTTCGGGTAAGTCATCTCCAGTGGATGTTCTTAGCATCACTGCTGGGTGAATATTGTCACTGAGTAATGATGAAGAGGCAGAACTTTTACATACAGTTCACTTGGGCATAAGGTTAACCCCACCAACAACATGTAAATTCATCAAATTTCTTACCATTTTTCTTTCTTTCTCTGTCTATAAAGTAGTGATCACATTTATACTCATTAGGAGTATTGATGGAATTCTTTTATGAAAAGGAATTGGCAAAAAAAACTGACACATGGTAAGCACTCCAAAATCTAGTTTTATATACATAAAAGAACATATGTAGGGTGTAGTTATAAAGTTGATGTTAGAGGAATGAACCCCAAGATAAGTATTCAAATGTTTTTTTCCTTTCATGCAATTGTTTCTAACATATTTATAAGATGATTTCTATGTTGCTTTGTATGTCCCTCCCCCACGGTATAATCCATACTTTCACTGTATTTGATGTTGGTATAATTTGTGGAGGGGAAGGGCAAAAACAATCTTTTAACTAGGGATAAAGGTGGACCCATTGCAACAATGAGATGTACAAGTCGTTATGTGGAAAAACAAACTTTACAACTTTGGTGGGGGATTGGGGGGAGGATCGAGTTGGGGGAGAGGGGAGGATGGGAAGGGATGGGAAGGGGAAACAAAGGAGGAGGCTACAATGCTTGATAAGAAATGTACTCGTTATCTTGCCCATGAAACTGTAACTCCTCTGTATGGTATTCTCACAATAAACATAAATAAATATCCTCTCTGTGTTCTTTTCTAGCGCTCTCTGCTCTCTCTGCTCTCGGCTCTGGCTCTCTCTGCTCTCTCTCTTCTCTCTCTCTGCTCTCTCACTGCTCTTTTCTAGCTCTCTCTGTTCTCTCTCTCTGCTCTTTCCTTGCTCTCTCTGCTCTTTTCTAGCTCTTTCCTCTCTTTTTCCTCTCTTTCCCAGCTCTCTCTCATTCCCAGGCCTTTCCCAGCCACGTGGAGTGCTAACCTTGCCTGGTTCCAGCAGGTCTACCCCTTAAAAAAATAAAAATAAATAAATAAATAATGTACAAAAGAACTGCAATAATCTTCAATAAAGAGGAAATAGACCAGAAAAAAATAAAATCTATTATATATAATGTATCATACCGCATCTATATATTTTGATAGTTAAATGGCTAGACAAACTAAAAAGCAGACATGGATTAGTAAATCTAAAATAAAACATTGTTTCAAGATTAGCTCCTAAATGGAGATACAACACATAGAAAGTGAAGAAAAGGACACCTTTTGAAATTGTTAAAAAGTGATAAATTGGGAACATAACATACACAAACACTTAACAAACATGATTCAAATTAAGCCTTCTTTGGACAAGAAAAGTTTAGAGTAAATATTGTGTGTGTGTGTGTGTGTGTGTGTGTGTGTGTCTGTGTGTCTGTGTGTCTGTGTTTGTGTGTGTATGTGTGCTAGTCCCAGGGCTTGAACTCAAGGCCTAAGGTCCCTTAACTATATTGTTCAAGGATATTGCCCTACTACTTGAACCACTGCTCCACTACCTTTTTGGTGGTTGGATTTGAGTCTCACAGAGTTTCCTACTAGGGCTGGCTTTGAACTGTGATCCTTTGTTCTCGGCCTCCTGAGTACCAAGGATTAAAAGTGTGGACTAGGGGCACCCAGGAATGTTAAATTTTGAACAGCTACTTACCTTAGAATGTTGTTGCAAAGTGAGAAAAACTGCCACAGGCCGGGGTGGGCAAAGCGTTTTGGTAAACTTAGTAAGAATCAATATTAGCTTGGTAGGTCATGAGATCTTTGTTGCTATCTGAAGCCCACCACAGCAGTGCAGAGCCAGCCACACAGGGCACAAAGCAGTGGGCATGGGTGTGGTTCAATCATACTTCATTTACAAAAGCAGGATCTGGGCCAAATCAGGTCAGCAAGTAGTATTTTTCTTAGCACTAATCTATGCTATAGAAGGATTTTAACACAGCTCTAAGGCTTAGGAAAACTCTGACTCCTTTTGCAGGAGCAGAAAATGATCAGAGATGAAATGTGGGCTATTTGGGAATTTGTGGAAGATAAGCACTGGAAGACAAACTGCCATTTATAGGGTGACTGGGTTAGACTGCCATAGACAATTGGAGTTGGGAGATTATTGATTGACTGATTATTGATTGACATTCAATCATCAATTGATTGATTTATTGATTGATGTGTGTCAGTGCTAGGGCTTGAACTAAGCTCTTGGACATTGTCCTTTAGCTTCTCTTGCTCAAAGCTGGGACTCTACCACTTGAGATACAGCTCCACTTCTGGCTTTTTTTTTTACTGGTTAACTGGAGATGAGAGTTTCTCAGCCTCTCCAGCCTGGTCTGGTTTTGCACTGCAATCCTCAGATCTCAGCCTCCTCATTGTCTAGATTACAGGTTTGAATCACTGCTGTGGTTGGCTAAATTGGGAGACTCTGAGAGGAGGGAGCGCATCGTTGGTAAAATGGAGCCAGTGGGTGCAACTTCAAACAATTTTGTATTGTAGCCATGGACTCTCCAAGCCCAGAATCTGTCTTAATCTCCTCTAAATTACTACAACATCTAGAGATAATCATTTGTCCCTATTCAGCAATTAGTAATTATTTAAGTCCACACTGCTTGATTATATGACTCAACTTGCAACATGCAACTGGAGATTTTGGACCAAATCTCAGGTTATGGATTTCATTGTCTGTATTTTGCATAGGGTGTTTCTAAGCCTTTTGAGGTTTATCCCTAGGAAAATTTTGACCATGCCTTACTCCTGGATATGTTAAGCTAAATAACACACAGGCTTATAGATGACAATGGACAGAATTTCTCTGAGTATCAGACTAATTTCTGTCTATAGTCAAGGATTGAATTCTTTTGTCCTCTAGGAGGGGAAAATCTCACTTAGAGCTAGGCCCTGGCCTCTGAAGAGAGCTGGTGTGCTATTGTTTCCTTTCACAATGACTGTAAACAACCCTTCCAGATTTCTTTCCTATATCTCTGGCCAGCCCTTCCGAACTCCCTCCACAGGTTTTCCTTTGGGGAAAAAGAAACCACCATTTATGTATTGAAAAAATTTTAAGAACAAATTCTAGTTTCTTTTTCTCATTACACTTTCTTCTAATGTATTTCATTCAATTCCCTGGTTTTAAATGTCCTCTAAACACTGATGACTCCTCTGTCTCCCCTCTCTTCTCTCCTGTTGTCTTTTTCTCCTATCTCTTCTCATCCTTCTCTCCTCTCTTCTCATCTTTCTCTCCTCCTTTCCTCTCTTCTCCTCTTCTCTGTGTGTTTCTACTCACTCCTCCTCTCCTCTCCACTTTCTCTCCTCTTCCTTTTTTTCTCATCTTCTTCCTCCTCCTCCTTCTCCTCTTCCTCCTCCTTCTCTTCCTCCTCCTTCACATTATCCTCCTCTACCTCCTCCTCCTCCTCCTCTTCTTTCTTCTTCTTCTTCCTTCTTCTTCTTCCTCTTCTTCTTCTTCTTCTTCTTCTTCTTCTTCTTCTTCTTCTTCTTCTTCTTCTTCTTCTTCTTCTTCTCCTTCTCCTCCTCCTCCTCCTCCTCCTCCTCCTCCTCCTCCTCCTCCTCCTCCTTCTCCTCTTCCTCTTCTCTCCTCTTCCTCTTCTTCTTTCTTCTTCTTCCTTCTCCTTCTTCTTCTCCTTCTTCTCCTTCTTCTCCTTCTTCTCCTTCTTCTCCTTCTTCTCCTTCTTCTCCTTCTTCTCCTTCTTCTTCTCCTTCTTCTCCTTCTCCTCCTTCTCCTCCTCCTCCTCCTCCTCCTCCTCCTCCTCCTCCTCCTCCTCCTCCTCCTCCTCCTCCTCCTCCTCCTCCTCCTCCTCCTCCTCCTTCTTCTTCCTCTTCTCCTCCTCCTCCTCCTCCTTCTCCTCTTCCTCTTCTCTCTTCTTCCTCTTCTTCTTTCTTCTTCTTCCTTCTCCTTCTCCTTCTTCTTCTTCTCCTTCTTCTTCTTCTCCTTCTCCTCCTCCTCCTTCCTCTCTCTCCCTCTCTCTATCCAGTTCAGATGCAGAAAGTTTATGTATTTCCATAGTTTTTTAAACACCCCAATGGTTTCCTACTTATACTTAAAGTTAAAATCCTAATTCCTCACCATATGGTCTGTATGATCTGGCAGTCTCTGGTCTCTCTCTGTCCCCTTTATCCTTTGTATCCAGATACTCTGGCTTTCTTAGATAAAAGCACCGAGCTCATCCTTCACCCTTCCTGATATTTAACTTAAAGATCACTACCTTGGAGTGGTATCATTTATTAGGATCTGTGTGTGTCTTCCCCAATTCACTGATTGTTAATTGAGAATTTAATAGCTGATGTGATAGTAGTAAGTAGTGAATAGGTCAGGACAGCAGAGCTTGCATGGGTCAGCCAAGGTCTTTCACAAAGGGATTTGAATGATTCGATTTTCTACATGTGAAGACACTGCCTTTGCTGGGCACAAGTGGCTCACACCTGTAATCTTAGCTGCTCAGCAAGCTGACATCTGAGGATCACTGTTTGAAGCCAGCCTGGGAAGGAAAGCCTCTGAGACTCTTATCCAGAAGTGGAGCTGTGGCTCCAGTAGTAGAGCACCAGAGCAAAACATGCTAAAGGAGAGTTCCCAGGCCTTGATTTCAGCACCAAAAAGAAAAAGAAAAAGGAAAAAAGAAACTAAGACATAGACTGCATCCCTGTAGAGGGTGCAGTAAAAAGACATCACCTTCACAGCAAAAGCAACTCTGTCTATACATGAAACTGACAATACTTGCTCTTCAATTCCCAACAAGCAATAAAGCTATGGTACTTACTAAGGGCTTAGTTTTCATTTCTAAGATCTCTTCAATGCACTACTGTACTGGGATGGGCCAGTACAGTGGAGGGGATCAATAACACTTGCCTCAGGGCCTGCCATGAGGGCATTTATAGAGATATGTCCTGAGGGCTCAGACCTGACCAATGGCTTCTTGCATTCATAGAGACAAACAAAACTGTGCCAGAATGTTTATATGGGATGAGTCTGTGGAAGGGGAATGTCTTCACCTTAACTCTGAGCCCAGTCCAGGACTTCTTCCTGCATCCTGGCTGCCATGCGATGGTCAGTCTCCTCTTTCACAAGCTCTAGCCACCATGATGCTCTAACTTTGATTTTAAGAACACAGAATCACTGCCCCACAGACTGAGGCCACGGAGACCATAAGCCAAAACAAATTGTTCCCCTAGTGGAATTCCTTCAGGTATTTACACAGCAAGAATGGCAAAAACTGATGAATATGACACCAACCACAAGATCAAATCTAAAAGCCTTCTTTGATAGTATCTATTTTGATACCCTGTTTTATTTAGTTTTTATTATTTTGTTTTATTCCCAGACTATCATCATTATCTGAAACCATCATATTTATTTGCATTTGGTTTTCTACCTTACAAAGAATGATGTGTTGAAGACAGCAGATACCTTATCATGCTTGGCAAATGCTTTTGTCAATAAAGTCAGAAAGTGTTCATTAATTGAAAGAAAAAAGACCTCAAGCTTCCTACTCTAACTCAGTCATCTTTGCCAATAGCAAAACACTAATTAAAGATGGTTTTCTGAGATGACTTTCTTAATTGGAAATTAGTAGCAAGGAACAAAACTACCAATCAAGTTGTTACAATATTCATTCATGTTCCACGTTTGACTACAATTTCCCCACTCTCTTCAGATAATGCTCTACTTTGAACTTTCTCACATTTGAATTTAAGTAACACCCACACACAACACACACTAAGGTTGTGTGTGTAAAAATGTTTGTATTATTGATATTTTCCCTAGAAAATTAGAAAATCTGTTTTGTGTTTGTGTGTGTGTGTGTGTGTGTGTGTGTGTGTGTGTGTGTGTGTGTGCCAGTACAGAATCTTGAATTCAGGCCTTCAAACTGTTGCTTGTTTTTTTTTCCCTCTAGTCTTGAAACTTTTTTGCTCAGGCTGGCCTTGAACCATGATCCTCAGATTGCAGCCTCCTGAGCAGCTAGCAGTGCAGCAATGAGCCACAGGTGACCAGATTGGAAAATCTTATCTTGTAAATTCAGAACGCATGCAGAAGACGACAAATTAGTTCAGTCAACTGAAATAATTCAGCTGCTTTACCATTCTCTAAATAATCCTCAATATTAAGAGCATTTACATAGAGTAAAATAAACTTTTACACTAAGAAATATTCTTATTAGGTTTGGCAGTAAATTGTAAATAATTGGTTGTCCCATAAAGAGTTAGATATATTTTGCCTCACAGTGACTCTGGGCTGGTGATGGTAGCTTTGCCCAATTATCATTGTGAACTTGACACGAGGTGACTTGTGAACCTGACACACCCTGGCTGCATTTCCTAAACAGTACACTCACTGGGTGCAGAGTCCACTGATGAATGGAGAAACAAACAGTTACCCATACCTGTGACCGAGTTACTCAAGAGTCTGAGAACTAGATCACAGTTTCAAGTGAGCCTAAGAAAGGAAAGTCTATGAAACTCTTATCTCTAATTAATTATTAAAAAGCCAGAAGTGAATCTCTAGCTCTTGCTTTGAGCAAAATAGCCAAGGGAGAGCACCTAAGCTCTTGGCTTAAGCATACCATGAACACACATGTGAATACACACACACACACACACACACACACACACACACACACACACACACACACACACACACACAACAATGTCCACAAAATCAAATGCACTGACCTTATGACTGCATTTGTTGATGCATCTGCATCTGAAGCATTTACCAACAACACATCGGTTCCAGTGGGTGCATCTTCAGAAATCTCTGTGAAATACATTTTGCTGGCAAAAGTGGGGACATTGTCATTGATGTCATCTATGATGACATTGATTGTTCCAGTTCCAGTCAGGGCAGGGGATCCTAGAAAAAAAAGAAAATCAACTCTTAGCCCTTTATGAATAGTTCACTATAGACAGAATTCCAGAAGAGATTTCTGGAAACATCCAAGCAAAATTTCTGAACACCTAAGACAAACAACTGAGTGATTTTTTTAAAAAACTTCCTCTACAAGTACAAGGTTTTCCTTGATAACCTATGATTTGAACTTTGCTGAGCCCACTCCAGAAGCAAACATGTTCTCTCATGAAGGGTTGATTTGACAATATGGTGTGATAGTATCTTTAAACACATTAACCACAAAGGAGACACTAAATCACAAAGAAGACACTACTGGCCATTTCTCTGAAATGACATAAAGAAATGTAGAACAAACCTGCAGCAACCCAGGACTTGGAACAGCTGTCCAACAAACTAAGTGTTGTTGACAATCCCTTTACTATTAGAATTTCCAAAACAACCTCTGATGGGGTTAAATCTCATTTTCTGTGTTCTATTTGTGTTAGTTAGAGAAAAAAGGTTTGTGTTATATCTCCATATTGTAATTTCTCCAATTTATGACTATATGTTTACATCAATGAGTTGACATAGAGGCATTATTGCACTCTTTTATACTTAATGAAATAATTCATTTTACTTTCAGCTTTAGATATGTTGTTATCGATGACACACAGTTATAAATCCAACATTTAACAAAGCTTGGAGCTTACTCTCCATAAACACAATGTTAGCCGATTCATTCTGTGGTGAAGGCCAGACTGCATTCATATTTGGCGAGAATGCTGTGGGCTGTCCTCGTAACTACAGGGAAAATTACATCCTTGGGTTGTGTGCTCAAAACCATTCATGAACCTTAACCCTTCAAAGTTAAAGCAGTGAAAATTCATTCAGTTGCACTTGTCTAAATTAAAATAAAACCCAGATACATTCTTTTTCTCTTTGTGTTGATATTTTACCTTCCATAGAGTTTTTTCTCTTTATGGAAAGCTTCAATCTTACTTATTTCTACAACTTGGTTTCCTATAAAGCCATCCATTCATGCATCTGTAAGGTGCTTATAAAATAAATGCTCTTAACACAGAACAATGCTGAGATCCACAGCCTTCCAGAATGGTTATTTTTCTGATAATTTTGTGATTTTCTGATGCTTCTGTTGCCACTACTCAAACATTTTTTTTCTAATTGTAGATTGTAGTTACTGATAGCAAAATACCAATCACCTTTTGTGTTCAGATGGATATGAAGCCGAAGCCACATCCTAGAAAAGTACAGAGCAAAAGGCTGGGGTGATCAGGGGCATGAGTGATGTCTACAATGCTGGAACCTCAGATTTTACACCAGAGATTTTATATCAGCTGAGGTGAATACTGTGAAAAGTAGATATTTGTGCAACTAAACTTAGGTTGCAGGTTAATCATTTTGTATGTATATGTTTATATACATCGTGATCATATATAGAGAGATATATGTGTGAATAAAATCATCAAGTTAAAATGCTTCACATTCCTGCTAGGTGCTGGTGGTTCATACCTGTAACCTAGCTATAGAGGGGGCTGAGATCTGAGGATCATGATTCAAAGCCAGCATGGACAGGAAAGACCACGAGATTCTTACCTATAAGAAAAAGTTTTTCCTTACCACAGAAAAAGCTGGACATGGTGCTGTGGCTTTTCTTACCACAGAAAAAGCTGGATATGGTGCTGTGGTTCAAGTGGTATAGCACTAGCCTTGAGCAAAAAGGAGCTCAGGGACAGCACCCAAGCCCAGAGTTTGAGGCCCAGGACTAGTTAAAAAAAAAAAAGCTTCAAAATGCTTCTATTCCTCTCAGTTGGTAGTATATTTTTTTAGAAAGAAAAATAGTTTAAAATATAGTTTAAAATAGTTTAAAGTATTCTCTCTCTCTCTCTTTTTTTTTTGGTCCGTCATGGGGCTTGAACTCTGGGCCTGGGCACTGTCCCTCAGCTCTTCAGCTCAAGGCAAGATCTCTATCACTTGAGCCACAGTACCACTTCTGGTTTTCTGGTGGTTAATTGAAGATCAAAGTCTCACAGACTTTCCTGCCTGGGCTGGCTTTGAACCACGATCCTCAAATCTCAGCCTCCTGAGTAGCTAGGATTACAGGTGTGAGTCACCAGCACCAGGCACATGTTCTATTTTAATTGTATAGACATCTGTGTTTATAGCTCTCAAGATATTTCTTACCTCAAACTTTCTATGAAATCCTATAACAATATTGTCTAGGAGGTTGTTCTAAATCACAATTTATCTTAGGGATCACATTGTAGTATCTGAGTTTCATTCACAACACACAAAAAAATGCAATTCTTTCCCCCATAGTATAACCCTTGTTTTCTTGGTATTTGATGTCAGTGCCCTGCATCTTTTATATACATTTTTCTAATTGGGGGAGGGGAAGGGAAATAACAAAATGCTGAAACAAGGATACAGGTTAACCCATTTTAACAATGAGAGGTACAAGACACTATGTAGAAAACAAACTTTCCAACTTTGGGGGAAGGGGGGTATTGGGGAGGTGGGTAGGAAAGGGATGGTAGGGGGAAACAAAGGAGGAGGTAACAATGCTCGATAGGAAATGTACTCATTACCTTACTCATGTAACTGAAACCCCTCTGTACACTATTTTTACATAAAAAAAACATTTAAAAATTGCAAAAAAATCTTCAAAATTTTATAGAAAATAGGCTGAATCAGAAAATTCTCAATGAAAACTTTAAAAATTTACTGCAGAAGCCACATAAACTCAGGAGGCTGAGATCTGAGGATTAAGATTTGAAACCACTTTGGAAAGCAGTATGGAGGTTCCTCAAAAGACTTCACATAGAGCTCCCCTATGACCCAGCAATCCCACTTTTGGGCATTTACCCTAATGTTTACAAACAAGACCACACTAAAGCTACCAGCACAACTATGTTTATTGCAGCATTATTTACCATAGCTAAGATATGGAACCAACCCAGATGCCCCTCAGTAGATGAATGGATCAAGAAAATGTGGTATATATACACAATGGAATTCTATGCCTCCATCAGAAAGAATGACATTGCCCCCATTTGTTAGGAAATGGAAAAACTTGGAAAAAATTATATTAAGTGAAGTAAGCCAGGCCCAAAGAAACGTAGGTCCCATGGTTTCCCTTATTTGTAATATCTAGTATATGTATGAGTCAAGCGGAAAAGGTCAGATAATGTGATGTCAGGAAAATGAACCCTTAGATGTGTATTTTAATGTTTTTTTCTTTCATGCATGTGTTTCTAACACATTTATAAGATTATCTCTTTGTTGCTTTGTATGCCCCTCCCCCACAGTATAACCCCTGCTTTCACTATATTTGATGTCAGTATAACTTGTGGAGGAGATGGGGAAA